TACATATTTAGTATATAATTTTATAACATTCATGTTACTAATTAGAGAGTGAAATATAGATCAGATCATTCAGATTAATATTGGGGAGGAGAGGAAGTCGGGGACAGGAGGCGTGGTTGGCAGAGAAATGCAAACAAACTCAATCACAATGAAACAATCGATCGACAACATGCTGCGATACATTATCGATCGATAACAAGCCGTTTCGAATTCACTCCGGCCTCAGGATCAGGCCCGGCGGCGGCTGCGACTCCAGCTGCTCGATGAACAGCTCATCCAGCGGCCGATCGCTGATGATGCGAAAGAAGAAGAGATGATCCAAACACTTCAAACTGATCGAACGCAGCGCAGGCAATCGCAACAGCAGCTGAGCGAAACGCCCATCATCGCCCGGATGCTCCAGCCGGCAGTGCTCGTCGAGGCAGGCGTAGACCTTCTCGCGACAGTGCTCGATATCTTCACGATTCTTGATGCCCCTGATGTCCGGATTATACAGGATGATGGCCTTCAGGCAGGACAGCTCGCGTCTATCCAAATTGAGGCGCTTCATCTTGACGCTCAGCTCGGACAGTATGCGATCAAAGATCGCCTGGACGCCCGCTTTGATCGCACTGTTGCGATGGTACGAGAAGCTCTGGCTGAGGAACAGCTGCTGCGGCTGCAGCACCGGTGACCGCCGATCAAAGGCGCTGTCGTGGCCCACCCCGGCGATCGCTTCGTCCAGCGACTCGATGCTGCACCAGGCCACGTTCGCAATGAGCAGCTCGTTCCATGCCGCCTTCAGCAGGATCACCTGATCGTCGAGCGGCAGCTGGGCAAAGTGAGGCATTAGCCGGGCATACTCCACCATCTGGTAGAGCTGTTTGTTGACCACCTGGCAGAGCGCCGAGACGGCGCCTTTGTAGTCTGGCTGCACCGTTGAGTTGGGTCCGACACGCAGGAATGCCAGTGCGTTATCGCCGCTGAGCGCCTCCGCCCGTTGCTCAGCGTCCAGGAGACGTTCGATGGTGAAGTCGCGGGACACGCTGTTGGGCATGAAGTCATCGGAGGCGCTATTGGCACCACTGCCGGCACCACCGCCGCCGCCTACGCCAATGCCAACGCCAGAGCCGGAGCCAGCTCCGCCACCACCGGCTGCACCGCCACCGCTCAATCGTCCGGTGGAGGCACGGGCACCTCGTTGTCGCTCCTCCTGCACGGCCTCGCGCTTCATGCCGCATGTGAGGCACTTCTGATAACGGCAATATTGGCAGCGATTCCGCTGCCGCTTATCGATGATGCAGTTGCGATTTTCCCGGCAAGCGTATGTGAGATCCTTGCGCACAGTGCGCTTGAAGAAGCCCTTGCAGCCCTCACAGCTGTAAACGCCATAGTGTTTGCCGCTGGCTCGATCTCCGCATATGGAGCACAGGTGCTTTGACCCACTGAGCGGATGATTTGGCGGATATTGTTGCTGCTGCTGCTGTTGCTGTTGTTGCTGCTGTTGATTGGGATTATTGTTGTTGTTGACATTGACCATGTTCATGGCCTGCATGAAGGGGCCCGGACTCTCGGCCTTGGGCGAGAAGCTGCTGTTGTTGCTGTCATTCAGCTGGGATATGTCCGGCTTCACCTCCTCCTTGATCGGACCCAGCCGAAAGCCAGCATCTTGGTCGCAATTGTCCATCTTGTGCTGAGGCTTCACTCCTGCTTCTCGGTGTTGTTATTGATCTTCTTCTTGCCAATGTTGCGTCTATGTGTATGTATGTGTCTCTGCGTGTGCGACTTTCCCCGCTGCAGTTTCACTTTGTGGTCGACAGGAACGCCACCGTGTCGCAGTCTGGCGAATTTGTGTGCTGCATATATTGCACTCGCTTTCATTTACATAACTTGCGCCTTGTTTTTACCACTTTATCCAGTTTTACGCCGTGTTATATCTTCAGTTTGAATTGATTTCCCAATTTACAGAATTCGCATAGACGGGCTTTTCTGACTAATGATTAAATACTTTTCGCGTCGACATTTTTTTTCTCAACAAAGACCAAACTCACCACAGCGACTTGAATTCACCAGCTGCCAGAGTTGTCCAGCGTTCACACGTTAGTGGCGGGCCCCAGAAAAACACGCACTCAGCACAACATACAAACACAACACCAAAGCTGGTTTGCACAAAAATCAATTGGGCAAATTGTTATTGGTTTTGTGCCCCTGGGTGCTGGGCAAACACCAATGAAATGTGCATGTTTTGCAATTATGGACAGTGCAACAACCCTGTTTAGAGCACACGACGGCCACCACCAACACCACAACCTCAACAACAAAAGAGAAAGAGTTCTCACCACTCAGAGCAACTCTGCGTCTGTCACAATACAATTCTTGTTGTACTGGCAAAATCGCAAACACGCACACAGACGCAGCCAGCCAGACGACGCAAATACACACGTACACACAGACAGGTAGCGACCCTCCCTGCAATTATGCGCGGCATATGCAAAAATACACACACACATATACTTAGGCTAGCAAACACACACACATACACTTGGACATATGGACAAAGCGGCAATTCCCCGGCTCCGGCCTCGGCCCAAATTATCGGCATCGACAAATCAACAACAAAACAATGAGCCCCACGAACGCGCCTTCAAGACCGTTTTACTTATGGCCAACCACAAACCAGCAGCACAACAAATTAAGTCCACAATTGCAATCGAAGTCAAATGAATACTAAATTTTATTTAGTCGTAGCTTAATGCACGGTGCAACTTACTTGCATGCGCACTTGTTTGATTTCATGCAACGCGACGTTTTGACTGTTTAACAGGTTTCGCACTATATTCAGGCAAACGCGCACGGGTACACATTAAAAATTGATCAAATGTTGAAAAACAATTGATAGACGCGTTTATCTGTAATTATTTTTGCCTTACTGATCTGCCGTCGAATTCAAACACACTGCAAACAAAATACTTAAATATCGCAAATGTGCTAAATTTGACCAAACAATAATACGGCTGTGGCGTTCAAAAGTTATCGATACCCGAGACTATCGCCACAAATTTAGGGGGATGCTTACAGTTGTTATCGAGCTTTGTGGATGTTCTAAACAGCTGATTGTTTAGCTGTTTGTATGTTTATTGGTGTATACTTATGTATATATTATAGTACATGTACATGTATTAATCTGAATCACTTGAACTATTGCTATTTAGTGCTAACTTAAATTTTAAGAACGTAATTTGGTCGTTTAAATAATTGATCTCATCCTTGTACAAGTCCGTTTCATAAAGCAAATTTTGAAATTCGCTGGTCAAGTCATCTGGTGCACTCCTCACTCCCGCTCCCTGGCTCTGACTTTGGTTTTGGGTGTGACTTTGGCTTTGGCTTTGGCCTTGGCTTTGGTTTTGGTTTTGACTTTGACTTTGGATCGGCTCCGCCTCTTCAAAGCTTAAGTAAAGCTGAAAGAACTCCCGGCCTCTGCTGCGACAAACGGGGCAGCTGTTGGACCTATTCGATGGAAACGGATCAGTCTTTGCTTACAGCTTCCGTTCAAGCGGGCTAAACTTACTCCTCCCACCAGCGCTGCAGACAATGCCAGTGGAACACATGGCCACAGCTGCCACCATAGATTTGATCCGACGCCTTATACCGCTCCGAGCAAATAGTGCAGCTCACATGGCTGCTACTCCTGCTGCGGTTGCTGCTTCTGCTTCGATCGGCACACATTGTCGTAATGACTTACTGACCACAGCGCAGTAGCTGCATTAGTCGCATGCCAATTGTAGTGCGTTATCAGCTACTCAACTCAACGCCGCCCGTTGCGTTTGCTAAAACTAACAATGGATCTCAGCTTCACTGTTTGTTTGTCAACAACTTTGGAAATAAACAGAAACAAGAAACTTACAGAAAATATTATATGTTCAATGTTTATGTAGATCGATATACCGACGAATTTGTGGAGCAGACATGAGAATATACATATTTGCAATAACATATGATACGCTGTCAGTCTGTTATCAGCTGCAAAGCCCCTTCGACTAACTTCCTACCTAGAATGTATTTGGGGTATAATAAAGTCGCAGCTGATTTCTCTCAGTGCAGGCGAAGCGCGATCGTACAAGAGATCGTGCCTGGCACTGAGACGCAATGCTCACTCGCTCTCTCTCTCAGTCTGCATTTCTCTCTCTCGCTCTTGGTACACTTAGAGATAAGCCTCGTAACGGATTAGAATCAGTGCTGTCATTATTTTTTTATTGATATAAAAAACTAAATCGTCCAATAAATTAATAAAAAAATAAGAAAAGGCTGTTATTACCTTAAACGTAATTAAGCTTAAAAAAACATAGCAATTGAACAGTTTAACTTTTACTGTATGCCCATGAATATTTATAAATACGCATACGTGTATTTTATACAAACTTGTCGATCAAAACATAACAAAAATCAATTTTATATGTCCCGATAGCCAACATCCTTAGACATACACACGGACCGGGCTAAATCGACGCAGCTCATCTCCTTCTGCTTGCTCAAAGAGCTTTTAAAAGCTTTTTCGAATTTCTAAAGAGCTTACCGTTATTTTCCCGCAATCTCAATTTTTAAAAAAGGCCAGATCTGACGGAAAAGGGGCGCAAATGGCATCGCTGACTACAACAAGTATTAGCATTTGCCCATCGATGAAAATAAAAATGATTTTTGTGATTGTATAGGCATTAATTATATATTCGACCGCACAATTTGCAGCACATATACACAAAATAAAAAAAAAAATATTTATATAAAATATAGGTTGATTAATATAGGTACAAATGTATGTCTAGGTAGATCTACAAATATAGCATATTTAGATATACATATGTATGTATGTGTGCATTTATAACTACATAAATGGAATGGTTTACGACATTTTCAAGGTCTCCTAATCGAAGTCAAGTGTTGAAAAAAAAAAAACAATACAAATACAAATAGAAATATTTTACTATGTAGAAAAAAAAAAATGATATAATATATATTAAAATAATCTAAGGTTCGTTCGTTGCCCGACATGCACAGCTGTAAATATGTAGCGTAACATAGCCTTAACAGTGTGATGTTAACAGTGCACAAGCATTTTTATGGAATGTTCATTCAAAAATGTAATTATAGTAGTTTATAAAAAAAATTCGAAAAAAGATAGAGTTTTGTATATGTTTTTCGGATGGAGGGATTGGATCGATAGCGGTATCGATCGATAGAAATATATAAATAGCGCTTAGTTTAGTGGTTAATACTAGGTGCGGACAAACGATAAATATCTATAAATAAATACGATTACGATATATATACGTATGTGTGTGTGCATGTGTCGTTTACGATATTCAGCATACGAAACATCAATTTCGATACCATTTACGATATTTGCATAATATCAAAAACATTAATATGAATATCGTTTATGGCACAGGTGTCAACTTACATATATCGTAATCGTTATAGCTTAGTGTAGAGTTTACGAGACACACTTGCATACATCGTAAACCGTATGGAGTGCTCCTATCTATCGTAAACGATATGGAGAGCACAGAATACAATCTACGACATAGGTAGCATGTCGTAATCGTTATTGAGTGTACGATATATGCTATACGATATACGCCAAATACATGGCGCACGGCACGTAGTGGGGAGGGGGGAATGTAACAGTTACGATATTTGGAATTAAAGCATTTCGTTAGTCTTTTGGATTTGGAGGCTTCGTCAGCACTTTGCTAGCGTCATCCTGGTCCTGGACCGACGCCTGCTGCAGTGCATCATCCTTGACCGTCGCATTGGCGCTATAAGATTGGTTTCTCTTCGGACTGTCGATGTTCATGTAGATCGGTGATTTGGTCACCTTGCTGGCCATCATCGTCGGCGCTGGCAGCTCCGTTGCGGGCAGCTCCTCCTCCTCCAGTATGATGTCGTCCCCCACCATGGTGATGCGACGATGCCCCAGCGGAGCCAGCGAGCCAGCTGCGGGTCGGTAAACGCCACTGCTCAGGCTGCTGTTCGCCCCGCTGCTGCTGCTCGCTCCGCTGCTGTTGAAGCCGTTGTTGATATAGGAGTGATTGCTCTTCTTGGGTGGCAGCCGGTTGCTGTTGGAGCTCCCGTTGCTGTTGCTGTTGCTGCTGGCTGCGAGCGTTACCGAAGGCGGCGGCGGGGTTGGGGGCGTAGCCAACGGCGGCAAATTCGAGCGGCTTATCAGATCTGGACAGCGGGAGAGCAGCTCCAGTGACTGGCCCGATTTGGTTGCCGGCAAGGACGGGCAATCGGATGTCGGTGCAGGCGCCGCTGCCGTTGGCGACGCCGCTGCAGCCGCTGCTGCGCCGGCGGACATCTGGGACACCAAAGTGCGGCTGTGGTTGTTGCTCAATCCGGTGTCTTTCCATTTCTCTAAAACAAATTGTGACCGTGACTTAGCGGATGTGGTTCGCATGCATAAATCCAAAACGGATCCACCCGGTACGTACCTGCAGCACTATTCGCCCCATTCGATTTGCCAAAGGGCAGCAGGAGGCGCGCCGGCTGGCAGAGGACAACCGTCTTGTAGGCCTTACGATATTGCTTGTTCATGATCACATAGATGATCGGATTGATGCAGGCGGACAGGTAGAGCATGATGTAGCTGAAGATGTGCAGACTGGGATGCTCCACATCCTTGTCGGCCACCTTGACAATGGTGATCGGCAAGTAGCAGACGACGAAGGACAGAAAGATGGCCAACACCATTTTGGTGATGCGCCATTCGTTGCGCTTGGCGCGCACCTCCCGCTGATCCTTGACCCGCGTGGTCGGCTGCTTGCCCCCGGCCGGGATCACTGTCTCCGGCACGTCCGTGGAGCAGCTGCTGCTGTCCGTGGAGACGCGACTGCCGGCCACTGTTTGGGTCACCGTCTGGTTGTCCGCCTGGTTGTTCGGCTGGCTGGCGACCGCCCTCAAGTTGTTGGGTATGGAGTTCTGTTTGGTGGCATGCCGCTTCATCCGCTGCTCGGACTTGTGCACTACCCAGAAGATTTTCGCATAGCACGCAATGATCACCAGGCAGGGTATCACGAAGGCCGTTATGAACAGCGTCGTCTTGCTGCTATGGCCGTGCGCATCGCTCATGATCGAGCACGTCTGCAGCCGCGTGTCGTACCCGAAGCGTCCCCAGGCGCCGAGCAGCGTGGGCAGCTGCATGCCGTAGGAGACCAGCCAGCAGGCGGCGATCATGACGGCGATCCAGTGGCGCTTGTAGATGCGCGCATAGCAGCTGTGATGCGTGATCATCACATACCGATTGATCGTGATCATGGCGATGCAGAGCAGCGAGACCCCAATGTTGCCATACTGGATGAACGGGATGACGCGGCACAGGATCTTGCCGTAGCGCCAGCCGCCCTGCACGAAGCGCAAGCCCTGGAACGGCAGCACCAGCGCACAGAACAGCAGATCGGCTATGCACAGGCTAAACGGCAAAAGATAGATCATGATCGGTATTAGCTAAAGCGATCAGCATTATCTACAGCGATCTACCTGATAATGAAGGCGGCGGCCACATTGCGCACTTTGGGGCACTTGAGCAGCGCGACAACGGTCAGAAAATTGCCACAGATGCCGACGATCATGATCAGAAAGGTCATGATCGCCGCAAAGGTCAACAGCGATTGCGAGAAGCTGCAAATGTGAGAGATAATTAGCTTTACTGATTTCCAGATGCATTCCTGATCCTTAAAGTATTCGCGATCGTGATAAGAAAATTCACCAAGCACCGATCATCGATCACCAATCGTCGATCAGCTCCATCAAGTGATTGCAAGTGATCCAGAGCATACGCTGTAAACGCTCATAGTTGGATGTAATTGGGTTGATTTCCATGGTGATCGCAGCGCTGATCCTTGAACTGATCGTGTCGACCTTAAGGCCCAATGCCCATATCATATCTCCAGTGGCTTCCGCTGGCTCAAAGACAGCCAGCATTGTTGTAGATTCGCTCACACACTCACACACACGCACAGACACACAGAGAGCAGTCGATCGGTAGCGATCACAGGCGATCCTCTGTTGGCGCTGCGAGTGTCTCTGGAGCGGCGCTTGAAATGGGCCGCGTAATATTAACGATCGGTTATCGGACCTCTCACACTGCGCTATAATTAACTAGCGCAACTGGCAGCTGATAGGGTCGAGATCAACCTACCCATTTTCATCCACAGCATCCAGCAGGCCGTTCGTTGGTGCCACTGAGGCAGCCAGCCCATCGCCGTCGCCATCGCCATAGCCCAGACTCGATGTTGTGTCGTCACTCATAATGCCAGATAAGCTAAGAAGTTCACAGAAACAGAAAGAGAAAGAGAAAGAGGAAGAGCAACAGAATCAGAATCAGAGGATGATAATGAAGGCGGCGTGAGTACATGAGTTTACAGATTTCAGCTTGAGGCAGGCTTCAATAATGCTTAGCAGCTCTACCTGATCAGCACAGATATAATCAGTGCTTATTATAAAAGTCACACACACCCACACGCACGGACAGGAATCAAGCGAAAATAAACAATGGAGAAATGCGATCGAAATAAACAAACGGCCTATCGATCGACAACCGAGCACTGCCAACTGGCAACTGACAGATGGGAGATCTCGACTGGGAGCTCTCGACGTTGATGCAAATCGGGCGGGGCTTTGGTGTCGAGGCGAGCTGTTCAACTGTCCAGCTGGCGAGCTGGCGAGTTTTGTTTCTGTTAGCTGGCTGTTCCTTTGGACTACAATAAATTAGTGTCAATTAAATAATTTAAAGAGGTCACAGCGCACACTCAGCGGCCCAGCAAACATCGTGCATGCAACATCTCTTTAGCTGCGGGTGCAAAGATCAGCGCCGAACCTTAATTAATTGAGTGTGCTTCAAATACAACTATGTACTACATTTATGTATATGTATATACTGTATATATATACGCCATATATCACATCTATGTGTGTGACATTCTCGCACTTGTCTACCGAAATACCGGAACACTTTTCACATTTCTGTATTTCTCAGTAGCTGACGCCCAGTTATATGATATAAATATTTACTGCAGCTCTAGATCGGCTCAGCTAACAGATCCCTGTTCTGGACACACAATCTCATAACGTAAGCAATATACATAAGTGTTATTTCATATTTGATAACCTTCCTGCCCTCAGTCAGATATAGCCCAATCCATACTTTCGTTTTATTTACTTTTCAAATGATTGATCGATCGATCATAAACTAAACATTCTCTAATGACAGTTGTTCCCATCTATCAAATAATATTACTGGCATTCTTTCACTCTTTCTGTGTGTATAAACTTTGTGTATAAACTCTTAAAAAAGAATATCTTGACCTGACCTATGTAGAGTATTCTTAAACTATACAACTTTTCAGTGTTAAGCCTATAGGCATAGAGCTTTACCATAACCATATATACATACATACATACAAATGTATTGCTCTTTTGTTTAATATAATTTCTTGTTTTATCAATAGCTCATTTCAAAATATCTTCTACATAAAAAACATTGGAAACTATTCTTGATGTTAAAAACCACACATTTTTCATAAATTAAATAAGTTCTATTAGTTCGGATAAGAAATCTATGTATTTATTTTATGTTATTTGTAGAATAAGTATTTATGTGAGTCTTTGTATAATTAAATAAAGTATGTTTCCATATTTAAATTGATGTATGTACGTATAAATAGAAGGTCTTATCAAAATAGTATAAACGTATGTTTTTTCTTTGGAAGCTGATGCTGAGCTATTCCGCAGAACTGAATGGAAATATGTATGTAGCTTTGATAACAACTTCTCTCTGCTAGCTATAACTAAAACCTATTTTAGGTCGTAATAATTGAAAATTGGCAGAAAAAAAAAAAACTAACAACATATCTACGTTTAAAAAGAAAAACAAAAAAAAACTTCCAAATACGCCAAATGATTCATGTCGTTATTACTTATAACTTGCGTCTTCCTAGTATTACATTTACACAATTCTTCAGAAGCTAAAAGAGAAGCAGTGAATGTTGTTGAGTTTGCAGAGCGATATGTAGATCGATAAAAAGTACATTCATATATTATTCGACAATGGATTATACTATATAGATCGAGTGCATTTACTTGGCAATGGAATGTTATGTACATACATCGTTAGATCATTCTTAACAAACGTTACGTATACGCAGTGTCAAACAGCTCACGATCGTTTAGCACTGAGGCTGTCCAGCTCTAGGTACACTTACTATGCATTGTGTTATTGTATTTATCTTATCGGCGTACACCCATAGAGCTCACCTGGTTTACTGGTGTGGCACATGCGATTGGTAATCAGCTTAGACTGCTCCGTCAGCTGTGCTGACATTCACGATCCGATCACTGGATTGCTCACAAATCACAAATTATACTCTTATCAGGCAGCAGCACGGCTTTGTTGTTGTTTGTTCTTTGTTTTTCTATTCTAATTTCACGTAATCGCAGCTGGCCGCTAGAGAGACCCAGCGAGAGAGAGAGAGATGGAGAGAGAGGAAGTGTTTGCCGCTGTGACTCCAAGTCAGAGTCAGAGCCAAGCAAGGTACTTATGAGTAATAACTGAGCCGAACTTTATGCAAGTGAACTGAGCTTAACTGAACTGAACTGAACTCAACTGAGCCGAGCCAAGCGGAGCTGAGCAATGTAAACAGTTTACGATTCGCGCTCTCTGCTCACTGGCTTATTCACGAATGCTGCGCGAGGGAGTGAGTGCGGCGGCCCGGTTGGATGATTCAAAAATGACACCGTCATGACTAATACATTTGGGATTCGAGTATTTTGCAGACTTTCGCAGAGGCAGGTAGAAATGTGCAAGCGTGCGGCGCAGCACACGACACCGTAAGCGTATTTGTCACGTTAGCAGCAACAACAACAACAGCAGCAACACTAACAGCAATGGCACAAGCCTCAGCCAACTAAGGGAATGCCGCGATCAAAACAAAACGCACAAAATCACACTAGCTGTAACGGTTGAATGACGTTTGACTGCGCGCGCGCGTTTACTTTGCGTTTGTCTACAACGACTGCACATTATCGAGTGCCCGCTTTTGGGGCGGCAGCTCGGTCGCGGTCGCAGTCGCCGTCGCCGTCGCCGTCGTCGTCTCCGTCAATTGATATTCGTTGCTGGGCTGTTGACAATTTCGCTCTACAAGCACACACGCACACACGCACACATGCTCACACCAACTAACATATGACACTCTCTCACTCTTCGCGTGCTCGCTCACTCTTTCAGCTCGCTCTCATTGACAGTATGTTCTCTCGCAATTGCTGTTGTTGTTGCTGTTAGAGTACTACATATTTATCAGTTGGTAGACCAGAGGGCGGCAGAGGAAGACATATGTATGCGATTGGCGATCGCGTTAGATATTGCGTGCATTCGCGCGTGTGTGTGTGTGTGTGTGTGTGTGTTTGTATATTGATTTTCTTATTCTTACAGATAGGCGATACGCATCAGGCGACATAATTGACATTTCCAGCAATTCCATCAACAAATACAAATGCAGCTATTGCACATACATGCACGCATGCATACATATGTATATATTTGTATAATACATATTAAATTTACACAACTTTAAACGTTACAATCTATAATACGCTGCCATAAATTTGAACGCTTTCTCAGTATCCTCTAAAATATTTGAATTTTAAACTTTCTTTAAGCTATTGCAATTAGCACTTTTGCAACACTGGAAACGAGGACTGGCGAAACTAAACGGTCTATGGCTGTTGCAAATATAATATTTTTTTTTAGCATATA